GGGGTGCGGCCCTACGCCTGGTGGGATCCGAGGAACGGGGGCCAGAAGTCGGGGGACCGGTCTCGGGGCCCTTCTCTGCCCGCGGGCGCCCGTTCGCAGCCGCTGCCCACCTCCCTGCAGACCACCTTTCCTTCCCAGACGGGCTGCGCCATCGTGGGAGGCGATGCCCGGAGGCGCTGGCGCCCTCTAGTGCCCACCTGGCTCCGCACAGGTCTTTGCTTCTCACCTTTCCAGTCGGAGGACTCCTTGAATCCGAGAGGTGCAGGTTTCACGACAAGTCCTGCGCTTTTCTTGGAACCTGCAGACCATCCCTGGGAGAGGCAGTGGGACCTGGGGAAGACCTGGCATGGAAGGATCCCTCTGCCCTTTCTAACCTCACTTCTTTCACAGTCCCTTTCTTTTTCGGGAGAGGGGACACACCGAAGGAAACAACAAAGTAATTCCGATCCTCCCCACCAAAGCTCCAAACTATTCTTAAAAACACAACAAAAACCCACTTATGTCAGGCGGCTCCTTGATTGTCAGGTGATGATGGGATCAAGGACCCGGAAATTGATTGGACTCTGAGAGCCACACCCAGTTACACAAACAGATACGATAACACGTATGACAAAATGCCAGCCGCACTCCTTGTGGAAGGAAAGTACCATCAGTTCATCTCGTTTTTTATTTTGCTCTTGCCCCAGTGAAGGGAGCTGAAGGAGGCCGGTGAAAGAGCTTTTTCCATGGAGTATAGTGTAGAATTTCCGTGTACTGTATTTCAGTTGGACCCATTTACCTTAAGTATGAATTTCCAACTCCATTGGCTTCAACCTCAAAATTAATCCCGAGGAGATGGAAACCTGTCTGAGAGGAGTGTGGATCACCCAGTACTAAGCCCATGGAGCAGCAGCGAGTTATTTACATATGTGTCAGGGAAGTGCCAACATTTAAATCTACACACAGTAAAACTTTTTTTTTGTGAATCAGATGAATGTTTATAATGCGTATCATCATTTTCATATTCATTCATACACAGGTCACTTCAACACCTCCATTGTTCTCAGAGACAGGTGTGCACAAAAAGACCAGGAAGGTCCAATTGCGTTAAGGTATTTAGTAATAACAACCTACCGGCAGCGAGGTCTACAGGGGAGATTTCATAGGTGGCCCAGTCTCTCTGAGCTTACAAAGTAAAAGGTTTTTATAGGGCGATTAGCTTATTCAATAATCAGTATGTGTTTGGGGGGAGGCCGACGCAAGGTTTCTGGTTTGGGCAGTTTAGACAGTCTCAGGGTTTTATGAGCTCCTTCGCAACTCCATTTTTTTCAGTGTGGTGCATTGCCAAGGTTGGGTCAAGCCGGAGCCTGAACACTCAAAACAGAATCTGTAGCAAGGGCATGTGGGATACTTAATATAACGACACACACACACACATACACACATACTCACATCCTTTATTCGTAGTTCAAATCCCTGGTTAATGCTGGATCCGTCATTTTAGGTTACTTAGTGGTCTCAAGTGTCTTTGCTGTACATACCTCTTTTTTTTTAATACTAATTAAATTATTTTATTGGGGGCTTGTACAACTCTTATCACAATCTGCACATACATTCATTGTGTCAAGCACTTTTGTACATTTGTTTTCCTCATCATTCTCAAAACACTTGCTTTCTACTTGAGTCCTTGGTATCAGCCCCTCCCTCCCTGCCTTTCCCTCCCCCATGAACTCTTGATAATTTATAAATTATTATTATTTGTCTTATCTTACACCGTTTGACATCTCCCTTCACCCACTTCTCCGCTGTTTGTCCCCCAGGGAGGAGGTTATATGTAGATCCTTATAATCGGTTCCCCCTTTCTCCCTCACGTTCCCTCCACCCT